CACTAGGGACCCGGGTTTGGGAACGGCCAGTTGGAAAAAAAAAAAAAAGGTGCAGAAAACACAAGGACAAGATGCTCTGATGAGAAATATTCCTGGATCAGGAAGTAGTTGGGTTTAGGTTTTATATTTTTATTTTTTAATTTGTTCAATAAGATGCTGGAGGAAAGTTATTTGTTTTAATCAAGCTGTGTGAACGTGTTATTGGTAACTTTCAAATACTTCAGGGGATTTGTTTGATCAGGAGCAAGCGGGCAGAACTTTGCTTGTGTCACCTGCTCCACACCAAGTGCTACAGGAGGGCAGTAAGATGCAGAATGTCACACAAAAATACCATTACCAGGTAACTGTTACTGACCGAGCAAAATTTACCTTAAAGTTCCACAGTGTAATATCTTTTTAACTTTAGATTTTAGAAGAGCTCCTTTACAGCTTTTGTTGCAGTCAGTTAACTGCAAAAGCGAAGGAACAGAAATCAGGTCTGGGAAGAGAAGTAAAAATAACGGCACTCCTCAGCGCAGAACGGCGCCGTGCCCAGTCACAGAACCACAGAATGTTGGGCTTGGGAGGGAGCTCTGGAGATCCCCCAGTGCCACCCCCTGCCAGAGCAGGGTCACCCAGGGCAGCCCCACAGGAACGCGTCCAGGCGGGTTGGAAAGTCTCCAGAGCAGGAGACTCCACACCCTCTCTGGGCAGCCTGGGCCAGGGCTCCGGCACCCGCACAGCCAACAAGTTTCTCCTCCTGTTCTAACTTAAACCCATTATTTCTTGTTCTAATGCTGGGTGTAGCCTGGTTTGGGTTGGAAGGGACCTTAAACACCATCTAATCCCAACCTTGCTGCCACGGGCAGGGACACCTTTTAAAGGCAAGAGATGGTACAGATTAAGATTCTTAACTGAGCAGGATCCTGCAGCCCCCAAGTGGGGCCGTTAGCCTGCCGGGGGTTGCTATCGCTCACCAAGGAGCCGGGAGTGCGGTTTAACGTACCTGCAGAGCTTCCACCTCCTGCAGCCAGTCTTTGGCCTTCTGCACCGCGTCCTTCAGCGCGGCGCCGTTCGGGAGGTAGGCTGGGATCTCCTCCATCTCCTTCACTGCTGCCACAAGGCTGCTCAGCGACTGCCGTGGTCTGCGGAGACAAATCACCTCGGAATGTAAAACACTGGAGTAAAACTGGGGTTCTCCTACTCATGTGGTTTATGAAACGAGCAGAGTTACCCCAAATAATGCCATTATGTCCAGCAGTACAGGCACGGCCTGTACACGCGGGGAGCAGTAACACAGGGATGCTGTTACAAGTGTCTGTTTTCTCGCTATCGACTCCTACTAGAAATATTCACACGTTTGGGCTTAAAAGAGATTTAATATTTATTAACTTTTCGAATGATAGAACCTTGGATCCTCAAATGCAAATCGAACCCTAAATCAGTCCCGGCTAGGAGACTATAAATTAGAAGGTTAAGAAAATCTGACAACGGCTTTTCTGTATTTCACAATTTAATTCTGAGGTTTTAGAAAAGTACAAACCCAACTGCATCTTCATTTCAGAGTTAAACCCAAGCTTATTCCAGTTTGGTTCGTATTAAGTTATCATTTTAAAACACTGCAGTTACTAATGGGTAAGAAACACTCAAATACTTTTAAAATTACGAGTCTGGGGGAAAAAAAAAAAGTAAACCCCAGGAATCTTCAGGGAAGGAACCTTGTCACAAGTCTGTGACGCCTTTCTGAACTTCAAACAGACTGTGCCTTCCGCTATTTTACTTTACAAATCAGAAAGTCAAAGCAACGAGCAAGAACACTTTTCTCAGTAAGGATGTCTTTGGCTTATTTTCCTCCCCTTCACCAACTAATCCGGAAAAAAACCCACTTCTCAATGTTAGAAAAAGTCCAGGTCACAACATTTTACCAGCTGGAGGCCAGAAATCTAAGCTACACCTGAGCCTGCACCCTCCAGCCTGACACTGGGGGAGGGAAGAGAAGTCTTAAAACCTTTCCTTGTGGCAAAAGGAGAATTTACACAACGATAGTGGGGCTCCGCAAACACCGCAAGCCAACACCAACAGCTAAAATCATCGAGGGACTCATCTCCCTTCTCCATCCCTTTCCCTTCTGGTTTGGCACAAGTCTTGCCTTCACCTTTCGAAGTGGATGAACAAAAGAGAGCCCCTCCAGAGGCAAAGGCAACTCTCACCACCGTAACCGCTCATGGAGCTACAAAACGCAACACTAAGGTCAAGCTTCTACCTGGCCTTTATCAGATTTCGGGCTTTGTCATCCCAGTGTTCAGACACCGTCAGGAGCTCCTGCAGCTTCGCCATCGCTTTCTCAACCGCTGGGTAGGGAGCGAGCCCGACACCTGAGTCGATGAGGCGTCTCATGTCGTCTAGAGTAAGAGAGTTTTGGTCCGAGGAAGCCAGCTGCACGTCCTCGAGCCAGCGCGCCTGCTCCAGGCGCGTCCGCAGTTCAGCCAGCTGCGGGAGGTCAACGTCGAAGTCGAAGCTGACGTCCAGCAGTTCCTGAAGTTCCGCAGCGCTGGGCATTTCTTCAGAAAGGAGTTTTTGGCTTTGCTGTTGAAAAGCTTCCACGCGATCAAGAAGATCCTGAAATACACAAACCCAACGATAAACCAGGAGAAAACCTGCTGCCAAATCTCCTGAACAGTTTGCTCCTGGCAAACTCCACGTGACACACAGGGCAAAGTAACACAACGTCCCCAACACGAAAGCACATATCGGCATCTCCTCGTACACCACGGGTCCACAAGCTCAGGGATCACAGACCAAGGAAATTTCACTCCAAAATCTTTGAAGTAAGAGATGGGTGTCGACAGGAAAACAGGATCTGAAGGGAAATGTGAAGTGCTCCCTCAGTGTTGTTTCCTGGCTTCGCTCTGCAAGGATTGTGAAGGCTGAACAACGCGAAGGGTAAGATGAAGAAGGCTTGGAAGAACGCTGGGAAGGGCACAGAGCACCTGGGCTTCGTTTCTGCTGCATTATTAAGGGCTTTGACTGGACCACACAGCCCCAGCAAACCACAGGCATTTTACTCTTTCACGCAGTGCAACTCCTCCTCTCTCCTTACGTTCATCAGCGAACTACCCCAAAAAGGTGCCTCTGTGGCTGCGTGCCCTGCACCCGGGATAACAGGTAGTTAGTCAGAGGAATCTCACTGCAAAGGCTGGAATTACTCCCTATCGAGACACCCTGCTCCGTGCCTCTAGCACTGGCTGAAAGGTTGCTCCAGCAGAAAGTTCTTCCTTCCCAGCTGACACCCTGGGGTTTTGCCAACAAGGCTGTTTGCCAGGGCGGGCAAAGTCACCCATAACCACATCTCTTTAGACATACATTAAATAGCGAATCCATCTCCAGTAACTGCTTGTCATTTATATTAACGGCCTAATTTGCATGACTACACATAATTTAGGATTGTTGAGAACGACAGAAAGGAATACCCTGACCATATGTGTTTGATATCCCTCTGCTCAAGAGCGCCAGATGGAGAAGAGCTCTTTGCATGTCTGGCGCTGCCCAACTCCTGCTTTTTAAATAGTAAGATAATTTCAGAGTTACAATGCTATAAACAAATAACTGTAAACAGGATTACATAAAGTCTGATTCACACATTCCAGACCTGATAAAGCTTCAAAAGCAAGTCATAAAGCTGACTTGAACCGGTCTATTCTGATTCGAAGCCACAGGCCGCTGGCTGGTCTCTCAGCACTGTGTGGGCACTTAAGAGAGCTCAGGAGCCGGACGTTGCGTCTCCTTGTTCTAAGAGTCACAAATATGCAAAACCTTTCTCCTTTAAGACAGGAATTACAGCTGCCTGGAATTCATGTTGTTTTTTTTATTAACCCACCTCAATGCAATAATGTAACATTTTGGCAAAATCTGAAACCAAATCTTGAATGACTTGGAGATACTCAGAACCCACCCGGTGGTTCTGTGATCTGGTGAGCAAATAACCAGCAGACAAAGTGCCGTGAGCCACCAGCAGAGCAAGCACTGCTAGAACAGCCTGGGCTGCCAGCTCTGGCCAGGGGGCTTGTTTCCTGGAGTGCAGGTTGATACGACAGCACGAGGAGGTTTCTAATTACAGGACTATGAGAAAGCTGATTCTGGATTAACCAAGGGAAGGGATATGAATGGGAGAACTGTCACGCAGAGGGTTAGGGAGTTTTGAATATTATCAGATGAAACTGGCTTCACCCTGGAGCCCACAGAACAAGAAGGACACGGATCTGCTGGAGCGGGTCCAGAGGAGGCCACGAAGATGCTCAGAGGGCTGGAGCAGCTCTGCTGTGAGGACAGGCTGGGGGAGCTGGGGTTGCTCAGCCTGGAGAAGAGAAAGCTCCGGGGTGACCTAATGCTGGCCTGTCAGTACATGAAAGGGGCGACAGGAAAGCTGGGGAAGAGATTTTTACAAGGGCCTGTAGGGACAGGACAAGGGGTAATGGCCTGAAACTGCAAGAGGGGAGATTTAGAAGAGATCTAAGGAAAAAAAATCTTCCCCATGAGAATTGTGAGACCCTGGCACAGGTTGCCCAGAGAAGCTGTGGATGCCCCATCCCTGGCAGTGCCCGAGGCCGGGTTGGACGGGGCCTGGAGCAACCTGGGCTGGTGGGAGAGAGGGGTCCCTGCCCATGGCAGGGGTGTTGGAACGAGATGATCTTCAAAGTCCCTTCCAACCTTGACCATTCTGTGATTCTTTAGAGGAGACTAGTTAAATGACCCCAGACTTTTACTCTGTGGTTACCCCGGTCACCCTGCCGCCTCTTTTGCATTTCTTAGCACAACATTAACTATCGCGATTCCCCTTCTTAGTGTAAAAATCTACTGACTGTCAACGCCATCATGTCAGAGAGCTCCACTCTTAAGCAACTCTTGTTCACAAGGCACCCAAACCTGCCGGTTTAAAGGTGTTTATTCTTGGGGCAAATGCTAAGATCCTGTTCTTTCCCCATGAATTTTCCGAGTTACCTTCAGCAGCGGCGTCTGGCTGAGGACGCAGGGCAGAGCGTACAGCTGCCTCACGAACAGCCGCAGCTCGTTCACCGTCAGCTGGTTTTGACACTTTCCTCCTCCGGAGCGGTACCTGCAATCACACACAATTCAACTGTGCTGGATGCCACTTAAATAGAAAATCAAATCCAAACTTCTCCAACATCTGCTTATGATTTCTTGTGAGTCAAGCTTTACTCACAAATAATAGAATATTCAAAAGCATCCAAGCAGCCTAGGGCTTACATACATGGGAAAACTTGGGTTAGCTAGAGCAGAATAAGCTATTGTTGAAAATACTCTTTCACATTAAACAGTATTCTGGAACAACCACTCAGCCTTGGAAGAGCGCTGGTTATTATGGAATAAAATTAGGCTTTTTTCCAGAACACAAAGCAATTGTGGATAAACTATTCAGTTATGTTGCAACAGCTATTGTAGTAAAGCAATCCCCATGCCCATACCAAAAGAGAACAAATCCCAATTTTGAATGGGTTTTATATTTACAGGTCGGGTAGGCACTTCTGAAAAATCCTCTTTACGCTGAAATCATCATTTTCATTTTTATCTAAATGCTTTGTATCAAATGAGTGGCTTATAAGTGTTAACCAATTGGCTAATATTAAAAACCTCTCTACACTCAAGCCAATACTAACTACGTCCGAGAACCCTGAACAGAAGAGGAAAGAAACCTCTTACAATGCTGGCTCCAACCTAATGCACAATATGTCATCTAAGCAAAAGAGAAAACAGCATCCCAGCAGGATACGCCAGCGTGACTGGAATGCAAACACTGTAAAATAAATTTTAATCTACCGTTCTATGTTAAAAATAGGTATTTTTAAAGGATATGCAAGATCCCATTGGGAATTCCAAAATCCACCATAAGCTGAACAATAAAACGAATCGAAATTCTCAGGTACAACACAGGCTGGTTTATGGTCTGCAGTTTTACTACTTTTTGTGGAAGTTCTGCAGTATCTTCCAGGAAAAGGCACAAATTTTTAGGATAAATAAATATTTATATACGCACGCACACACAGATACAACACAGCTGAACTGCAAAGCTGTCCCAGCATGTTTTCAATAACCAGAAATTACCTAAGCCTAAAAAAAAGCATTCACAGCAGGAAAGCCCACATCCAGGCAGGGTTATTAACCACAAAGATCTCTACGCACAAGGTCTCTAAAACTCCTGGGAGACTCTAAGAAGCAGAAAAGGCACCAGGAGACCTGGAGAACAGAGACCTGGGGACGGAGAGCGAGAACAACCCTTTGCGCCCGCCCTGCCGGGCCCCTGCTCCCTCCCAGTGCCAGAGAGCACCGAGCGCCGCGGTGTCCCTCAGCCCCAGGTGGCAGCTGCTCACAGAGTCACCTCCTCAACGGCCTCGTCACCCACCGCAAGAACCCCAGCAGACAGGGAAGCGCAGCCCACCCGCACCTCCTCAGGTACTACAGAGAAGATGGTGAGCAAGAGCCACAGGATTTACCCGAGGTTACTCCAGAATATCTATCCCCTGGCTTGGTCCCTTCTCCCCAGCAACTGCTTGAGGAGATCCTTCAGGATCTCTGACTACAGCCCGATTAACAGGGATGACCTCCCAGTTGAGACAACTCCAAAGGGAGGATCACAACAAAACGCTCAGTCCATAAAGGAAAGTTTGTCAAAAGCACAAACCAAATCCTTCAGAACCAGCACGCGACAGCTGGCACAGTGAAGGCAGCCCAACACCCTGCGGATACGTGAACTTCATGTAGAGAAAATGTGTTTGACATAGCGTGTATCAGGACTTCAAGCAGAACATTCTCTTCTTTGTGTCTGCCTGCATAGGTTAGGAACACTCCCCCCTTCAATATTTTAAGAAAAGAAAAAAACACCCCATCAAATAAAATGTTGGGTTTTTTTAATCTCTAATTATGACAGCACGTAACAGGCTTTTTCCTAAAATGTGCCAAAAAAGAAAAACAGTGAGAGAAGGGCTAAAATCACTTTTAGAGCAAATGAGAACCGCCATCCAAGCGCTGCCGTTATCCCGTGTGTGCAAGACTGGGGGGGTCATTCATCTCAGTCTGAAGAAGCTGTTCAGCACGGCCTGAGAAAGGCTGACACCATCGCAGTGACAACAGAACTGACCTAGTCAGGGAGATGAAGATAAAAATCGCTCCTCGCTCTTGGCCAGCCGAAGTCAGGCACGTGTTCAAAGCAGGAAGGACTCTTGGAAGAGCTCGTCTGGCCCAGAGCAGCTGGAAGGGGCCAGGCTGCTGCTTCCAGCTCATCCCCTGAGCAAACACCGGGGCCGGGAGAACACAGACTGGGCATGCTGGAATGGGAAGAGGTGGCTCAACACTAAATGAAAAGATCAGGTGTGGACATGTTCTTCAAAAAGAGTGCCACAATCTCTGCACTGGAAATTACCCATCTGGCAGAAGCCATGTCTGTTGCAGTGCTGAGTATTTCGTTTCTTGTTGCAATATTTTTATGCTGCTGTGACAGAGGCTCCATCCCCTTGTGTCTTGCAAGACAGTGAAGGTGAATTTTTATCAAGCCCTTCCTACAAAGACTTACACAAGGATCGGTAGGAAGGGAAAGTGCAGCTAAAAGAATCACGTCTAAATAGCAGTTAAATATTCTGTTACCGACGTCCTTCGCAGTCAGCCTCTGAAGTACTGCAGGAACAGAGGCAGAGACAAGCGACAAGATCCCTGCAGAGGCAGAAACCTCACCCGTGCAGCCACTCCAGCACCACGTGCAACTGCCCTGGCAGACCCGCCATGGTTCAAGGCAGCAGAACAGGTGAAAATTGTCCAGATGGGACAAAAGTGAAGCAGTACTTCCGCAAGTGCTTCACGCTGTTGAGATTGTTGGACTTGAGCAATATTGTCCTTCACATACAGAAACCAGAGATTTCCTTAGAAACCTATCGTCCCGCAAGGCCAGACACAGTCATTGTGAGTCCGGGTGGAGAATCTGCGACAGAAGATGGTAATTTGTGGTCCCAGAAAGGCTCATACATCAGTACAGCCACAAACCAACGCAGTGACATCTGGCCCTGTCCTTCCGGAGCTTCGGAGTCCTTTCAACTCATTTCACAGGTGGAAGTGTTAGCAGGCAGACATCCAGTTCACACGGAACACGTTGCCCAAACACTGCCCTATCCTCAAATTCCTTGAGCAAATAACCTGTCTAAAAGACTTAACGTAAGCGCTGCCCAAGAAAGAGCAAGCGTTGTTCGGTTCTCACACAGCATTCCCATCATCACCATCGGGAAGTTAAGACGCTTTATTCTCCCACAAGGCACGAAGTGTAATGAGTACGGCGACACGTGCCCCAGGGCACAAAGACAAGTGACTGCGTCTTGTCAGGTGCTGCTTTGGCTGGACACACCACACTGATTTTTCCTTCCGGGGAACATTAGAGTGAATTTACTGCCCAACTGCCAAATACAGAAGAAGAAGAGACTGAAAGCTCAGGATGTTTAACTTATTACACGCAGTAAAGGTGACTCTCCCTGCAAAAGATGCTTCTCTTGAGAAGACAAAAAAGATGACTTTCATTTTTAGGTCTTACAGAACACCGGCATCTCTCCCTGGCCACCGGCATCTATCCTGCGTGACTCAGTTTTGCTGCAAACACACACAGTAACATTTACCTGGTTTGTCTTTTGCCATTAAGAAGCTGCTGTGCAACCGAGGCACATTTGTCTGCATCCTGCGTAACCAGCCTGAGGTGTCGCAGCAGGTCATTGTCTGGGAATTTTTTCATTTCTGATTCTTCTATCAAAGCCTTAAAACTGATGAGACCTTTCGGGAAAGATACTAAGTTAACAAAAGTCTCCCTTTGCGATGGATTTTAAATGGTGAGGCTGAATAGCACAACATATTAAAGACATTTCTGTTTCAACTTCAGTAATGTACAGCTTTCTCACAGAGACAGCTTAGCATAATTTCTGGGACTATAACAACTAAAATATTTATTTTAAAACATAAAATTGTATTTGACTTCTTTTGATTGTCTCGTAAGAAAGAAGTTGCTAGGGTTCAGAAACTAAAAACTCAAAAATCAGCCACTTAAAATTATGTGTTGCAGATAAAAAGTACGGTACTTACTTTTTTTATTGTTGATTTTTGCCTCCAGAGCTTCGTTAACGTTGGAAGCCCACTCATTGTAGGATTCCGCACGCATCTTGAGCGCGTTCATCATGGGATAGAGTTCCTCCAGGGTATAGCGGTACCTACACAGAGCACACAATTTAAACTCGTCAACAAAAACTCAGGGGGCACAGGCGAGTGCAAGGGAGGGGAATAAAGACGTGTTGGTCCCCACAACACAGAAATCATTTACTATGTGCCCAGAGTTAGGTAATTAAGACCTACAACCGCACCATGTTCCTCTTAAGACAATTCCAGCGTCGCAATTGCTTCAAAAAAACCCCCAATTTCAACATTACAACTGAAGCAATTGTGAAATTGTCTTAGGATAAGCTACATTCACGAAGGACAAAGATATAACAAACAACGGGAAAGGAAAGCTAACCAAAGCAAAAAACCACCACTCGGCCAGGACTGGATGTAAGGGATGATGACCTTGTTGCTATAAATAAAAAAGCAAACTAACCTATCCAGCATTTTTGGCCATTATAGAGCAAGAAGAGCTGAATGCTGGAAAGAAAGAGTCTTTGTACGGGAGCACAAAGAAGGCACTTTGTTTTGGGGGCACCGCATTTGCACAGGACTGAGAGCAACAGAATACCGAGAGCGGCCCCACGGACAGAGCGGGGCAGGCACCACGTTATCCAGCCGCAATCCCGATGTCTACAGCAAGAATCTCCAGAGCACAGCAGTATTTGCTGGCTGAAGCTTACCCCAGTTTGTATTTGTAGGTGGGACAGGAGCAGAGATCCTCGACGTGGTACAGGCACACCAGCAAGCCAGGCTTGCAGGGGCAATACACGGCCGACATGAAACAGGTGGTTTTGCACTTCAAGCACTGTCGCTCGTCGTCAGGAAAGAGCTCGAAAGCCACCCGCTCCGAGTCAGTCACTCCCTGCAAAAGTGTGGGATGTCACTTCAGAGTCTAACGAAGAGCTAATTATTCATCGACTCATAAAGGCTGGGAAGGACATCTGAGCTCACCAAGTCCAGCTGCCAAGCCAGTATTACTGTGCCTAATAAACCACATCTCCTAGGGCCATGTCTACTCATTTTTTACCCCCGCCAGGGACGGCGACTCCATCCCTGCACTGGGCAGCCTCTTCCAGTGCATCACCACTCTTTCAGTAAAGTAATTTTTCCTAATATCCAATCTAATCCCAAGCTAAAACATCAGAAGCTGAATTTACCAATGGAAAAACAGTTTATAAAGAAAAGATTAAAACCAGGTGGACAGAAATCTTGGTTAAAGAAAAAACAGCTATTCTGACTAAACGACTGCAAGAAGAAATACTACTTGAAAAGAGACCTTCTGAACACTATTAAAGGGCAGATGCTAAAAAACTATGCACAATAAATTATTCTTTACCCAAGCGGTCCTCTGAAATCAATGCTAACCAGGAAGAAGCCACGTAGCTCTAAGGTGACGGGGACACAGCCACGGTGTCACACCGTTTCAACTGCTCCTCCCCTCGCTGCAGCAACAACTCACCAGTTTATCGACCTTCTCCCGCAACCTCTTCTCATCCTCTATCATAATGGCCATGTCTTTCTGAACCGTAGACGCGACCACAACATCAAGAACGTCTGCTTTGGAAGCCATTTTACAGATCATCTCATCGTGAGAGAAGACGCAGTAGCGGTTCAGCAGGCGGTAGTGTTCCACGCACTGGCGACCCAACGGGAGCTACGTGGAAAAACATCAAATAAATGATGAGTTAATTTGGAAAATTCTAGCTTTTTATGCTCCTAACTCAAACTGTCCAAATGAAAGGCCAAGGCAAACCGTTCCAGCAACAATATTAATAATTCAGAATGAATGTAAAGCCAGAGAGAGATCCCAAGTTCTTGTAAACCAGAGTGCTTGTAACTCTTTCACAGCGGACACTGGAGGCCAGCTGTGCAGCTGGGTAATTGAACCACTAAACCACAGCAGGCTCAGGAAAACCCAAGCTAAAAATCGAGGCTGGGAAGCATTGAAGGGCAGAAAACACACACTTGCCCTGTTCTTACCACTCGAGGGATGCCTTGAGGGCAGGCTGCAGGACAAGCTGGACCTTTCTTCCGGAAAGGTAAGGCTGTGTCAGGTCGGAAATGAATTGCTCCGCAGCAGGAGGAGCTGAGGTCCCTCACTGACCCCAGGCAGAGAGAACAATTCACAGAATCACAGAACTGCTGAGGCTGGCAAAGCCCTCTGAGATCATCCAGCCCAGCCCGTGCCCCAACACCCACCATGGGCCAGAGCAGGCACCAAGTGCCACATCCAGCCTCTCCTCAAACCCCCCAGGGACGGGGACTCCCCCTGCCTTGGGCAGAGCACCCCAGGGCCTGAGCACCCTCTCCGGGAGGGTCAAAAAAAAGATACAAGAGACACGCATCCAGCCCCAACACACCCAAGCAGTAAATACACATTTGTGCCCCCTCCCTGCAGGGAGCTGCAGAGAGCGATGAGGACCCCCTGAGCCCCCTCTTCTCCAGCTGAACCCCCCCAGCTCCCTCAGCCTCTCCTCCCAGCACTTGCCCTCCAGCCCCTTCCCCAGCCTCGCTGCTCTCCTCGGGACCCGCTCCAGCCCCTCCGGATCTCTCTTGCAGGGAGGGGCCCAGCCCTGCACCCAGGGCTCGAGGTGAACTCAGTCTAAGCTGGGCAGGTTACTCATGGCTTTATGTGAAGGCTGTCACCGGCTCTGGTCACACTGAGCCACAGGTTAGAGCCCGTGTGGAACTCAAGAAAGAGCACGAGGAAAAAACCCAAACCAAGCAGTAAGTGAACACAGTCACAATGTGGTCCAGTTTTAGTCACCTCCTCCTTCTAATTGATATTTTTTAAAATCTATCAGCATTTTCAGATGGGTTACATTTACAAATAGCTAAAACCTTTTTTGGGAAATAAATCAGAAGAGAAATAATTTGAATTATCAGTAGCTTCAAAGGATCTTTCTAAGGTTGAGCAACACCATCTGAGAAACATGCAAGGAAGGAGAAATCCTTACTTGTAACTTCGGAGCAACAATCCTCCGTTTGTTTTAATAAAAAAGAAGACAAAAATCTTAAATTACTATGACCTGCTAACTGTAATGCGTGCCTCTGCTGTTTCAATGAACTAAGTGAAGCTTACTAAGAATAAAGTACTGGTCTGTAAACTTTCTGTTCCCTGCCCATTCAGGTATTCCTCCCTAAAAACCTACAGTACCTCTGCTCTCCGGAGGATGTACTCACATCAGATGCAACTTCTATTAGTATCATTTTTTCCCCGCTAGGACTATCAAAGTCTACAACTATTCTTACTGTGTGTTAAACGTATCATTTGATCTAAAACACAGAAGTTGAAGTAGAGAATTTAAGTCAGCTTTGGTTTTCAACTGCAGAAAGCACCTCTTTGAGAAGTCCCACTGCAATAAACAGAAAAAATTTAATTTTGGCAGTTTGAAAATTTCATTTTCTTGGCGACTTGAATGAAATTTGGGGACACAAAAGCAGTCGATCCCCGCAGCACTGGTGCTTCTCATGGGCAGGCCCAGGACCTTGCCTGCCTCCTGCTGTGAGACACATCAGCCCTAAAGCATCATTTCAAACCGAAGCTTAGGAACCCAGAGAGTTCACTACACGGGAGAAATAGCTTCAAGCAAAACACGATGCTTCCAGATGTGGACCAGATCTGTGCATCAGCAGCAAATCAGAGCTGTCCATCAGGTAGGGACAACTTTGGAAGTGCATACTTATTGAAAACCCGGGTTTGGAACATACCCAATCGACCGTGCAGAAGTTCACAGCTTCAGCAAAATTGAATCCCTGATTGAAGCCGCTGTGGTAAGCTCTCGGGAAGGTGATCACAAACTCGCCGGCACACTGGTTAGTTCGATACACCTGGGAGAAACGACAAACAAGCATTAGGGCAAATCTCAGCAGAACTGCAGGGTGTGAAGAGAACATGGATTTCCAATTCCTAGTAACTTCTGTGATGACTCGGGAGAGTTTTAATTGGCATTTGGTAACTTGTCAAACAGAACCCTAGAAAGTGAAGGGGTTGGTTCATCCACACTCACCCCCTAAGTCATTTTAAATGCCACTCTGCTGGCTCTGCACAGTCACATGGATGAAGCACAGGCTCTCCGCAACGTGCAACTGGAGGGGAAATTTGGAATCTACTCAGGAGTTCACACTGCTGTAAATCTAATACTTCTGGTGCTATAAAATCCACACGAAAGCAGGCAGGTCGTCCTGCATCTTTCAGTTTTGGAGTTTCTCAAAGCATAGCAGACGCCACAAATTCTGCTACTTTTTCCAGATTTTAATTTTCAAGGTGAGCTAGTCAAAAGCTAATTCAGTTGTAAAGGGATATAATTCCTGTTAATAATCTAGTATGGAATATGATTGAAAGTGATGGAAAAACGTTTTTAAATACCCAAGAAAGCATCCAGGAAAAATAAGAGGATGTGGATGACAAAGGAAGAATGGGTTTTGGTCCCTCACAAAAAAAAACAATCGTGTCTGACTAGAGAGCCATAGGAAGACCTCCTGCCACTGTTTCACAGGTTGAGACTGAACTTTCCAGCTGAGATTCACTAAAGGTGGATCTCCAGAGAAGCGTTTGCCAAGCAATTCCAAAAGCAATGATTCCATCACCCATCTGTTCCTACTGGCACATTAAACTAGGCAAGGGAGGTACAGCACACATGGAACTCCCACACCGGCTCTGTAATGAAAGTGGCTTCAATTATCAGCTTCCAAGCAGAGTTCAGTGCAAAGGAGAGAGGGCTGGGTTCAGGGGAGTAGCACAGGAGCCCAACAACATACAGGCACTCCGTGGGCCATCAGAGTGTTCGGGTTCATTATGGTGACAAGTTGGTGCAAGAGATCTGGCTGAGATTCAAACAGCTCTGGAGCAAGCTTCTTCATGACATCCTCCAGCTGCTCAGCCGCATACCCCGGGGCTCCGTACCACGTTTTGGGCTCCCCCCTGCAAGATTATTAACAAAAGTTAAATATAAGCAATCTCGTAAAGTCACATTTTCAATCTTCTGCTTTAAAAGACACCGTGTCAAAAGAAGGGTCTATCACCAGGCAGGAAAGAAATGACTACGTA